AGGGGAGTGACTCTTCCGCAGACAGTCACAGACGCAGAAGGCCGCAAGGGAGAGACCCTGAGAACGTTACTGCAGCTGAAATGTGCTCTGAATGAGCAGCCCGGGTGATTTGAGGGGGGTGACTCTTCACAGACAGTCACAGACGCAGAAGGCTGCAAGGGAGAGACCCTGAGAACGTTACTGCAGCTGAAGCCCTGCTGCGTGATCGGGTGAAACGGGACTCGTGGCTCTTGAGCAGCGCGTGAGCCCTAAGGCTCCCCAAATGTTCAGATCTCCGGATGCTGAAGGAGTCTGCTGGGCAGGATGTTGCTTGTGGAAGGCGATTTGCTCCCTCTGGCTCGTAGGGACAAACGAGACCTGTGGACTGGTAACGTGGAACGGTCCAGCACGGACTTGCTACGGCTGCCAGCGTGGGAGGCTGTTTGTTAGCGGCCTGTTTCCAATGTGCTGGCACTCTGGTGTATCAAGGGAAACTTTCTTGCAGTTCCAATTACTTGCAACAAAATAAAATTTAAGCAGTTTACTGCAGTGCACTGAGTGATTGTAGTGATAAATGCTAAAAGGACACTCTAAATTTGCCAAGGGACACTGCAATGTAGCACATCCTTTAATAAAGCTGTTGTATGCTCCACTTCTCAGGTGTGCTTATAGAATCTCCTTGTCAAGTTTCACTTTCTAGTTTATCTTTGGTAACTTATTTTTGTTTTCTTGTGTCTCAGGGTGTGAGATTGTATTGATTTCAAATGCAGAACTTTATTGGGGTTTGACTTTTTCACTGTATTTCAGTCTTGATGTTTGAAAATCGTGTGTTGAACAGTGGAAAATTACAGTCAGACAACTGGTAAGGGTGAGAGACTTGATACAAGGAGAAGAAGCTTCTTAAAATTTAAGCCAAGCTTATCACCTGTTCTTCTTAAGCCTTCATTTTTTTTCCTTTATTTTTTCTCCAGAACTTGATAAGTAAGACAAAAAAAAAAAAAAGACACAAAATTACTAGTGAGGGAATTGGTAAAGGGTGATGTCTGTATTTAATTAGATTCTTTAGTTTTGATTAATTCTCAAATCAAGATTATTGAGTTTTTTTGTTGCCTTACAAAAATGAAAGTGCTAGAGGCCTTATTTTGAATCAGTAGTTAATGAAGTTTCCTAAAACACCAAAATTCTGATCTAAAAGACCTTGTAGAGTGCAGTGCTAAATAGTCCTGAAATGGACTGTGCTGCTAATGCGTGTTCAGAAAACACTGGGTGCTGAAACGGAGAATCATGATAATGACACCAAAATTCTCCTCACCTGTGATCCAGCTCTCTAGAGATGAGACTAATTTGTGTAAACTAAAATTATAGAGTGCCATAATCAAGTTGCAGAAGAGAAATTAGTTCCGCACATGCTGGATTTACAAATCTTTGGGAAAATTCTGAAGAGTACTTAACTCTATTTTTTTTTTTAACTTTTTGCTAGGTTTTCACTTTTCTGAGTATGAAACTAATCTATCTTTATCTTGTCTTGGGGAGGAAGAGAGGAAACTCATTTATTTCATACAAAAAACCCCCTACTATTCACTATTCATTTTGGTGAGATTTCTAGATTTCTCTTTGCTTTCTGCTTCTCTTCTGAACTCCTCAAGGTGGCAATCTTGCCTCAGATTTGAGTGTGTATTTTTGTTCCAGGCACTGCGTGTCTCCTACGCTCTCCTTGGGATGGCTACAGTTACTTGCCTGAAGTACTGCAGAATATCCAGCTGTCAGTTGGGAAAATGCTGGATTTTGTGCATAACCTTGGACACACTGGTTTCCATAGACTGTGCAGTTTGGAGCTCAGGGGAGTGGACACAGCAGTATATTAATCTCCTTGATTGGTAATTATGAAGATAAGTTTACAGATAGTCAGCTGCAGTGAAATTGGCTAAAACTTTTTTTTGTATAATTTATTCAGTCTTAGCATTTTATCTGGCTATGGTGTGCACGTATCTGTTCCCTCATGTGCAAAATGGACTGGCAAGAGAAAATAAGTACTCTTTCAGTTATAGATTTTGTTTTGTATGTTCCAAAAACATTTAATTATATATATATATGTATGTATATTTGCTGTCATAGGCATGAAATACATGTGACACTGACCTGCTCTGCTTTTTAGGTTTTCTGGTATAATTTAAATAGGAATCTTACTAAACTTTTTGGATTAGATGGCCAAGTCTCCCTTGGTTATGAAACGCTTTCCTGCACTCCACATTCATTACAGCTTTTTAAGTGGATCTGTAAATGTTTTAATTCCTAAATTGAAGCTCTTCATCCTATATTTTCCTGGAGAAAGGACTGGCGTTTTCCAGTTTTAATTGGCAGGGAGGGATACTGATGGTGCTGCTCTTCTCAAATGCAGATACAACCTGAACAGCAGAGTAAGTGAAGTTTCATGTCCTGTCTTCACTTGCTCCTTGGTTCAGAGGAAAACAAAATCCATAAGGAGCACTGCCATTCCCACTACCTCTGTTCTTTTAGTTGCTCTTTCACGTTAGCCCCAGACCTCTGACTTTGCTGCTTTTACCAGCTGAGGAGAATTTTTGTAGAGCTTTTTAGCAAAGTTTAGCAAAGCCTTGAGGATTTGAGCTAGTTCCTAAGAAGAATCGGGAGGCACCACGTCACCTGAGGAGCCTCTACATGTGGGTTTAGAGAAGTCCTGAAAGAGTTTGCAGGCACCAGATACTTCTAGGATATGTATTTTTTGTTCATCTTAAAAGCTAAATGTGAACAAACAAAAGCAATTTAATTTGTCTTTGAAGCTGCAGAGGTAGGAAGTTGAGCTGGGATGTTGATTGCTGTTCCTTTTTATTTTTACTTTTTAAATGACTAGGTCTTTTTGGTCTTAAAAAGACCCCAAGCTGAGGATTTCACAGATTTTTTTTTCCAGACTTTCTTTTTGTTATCCACCTGAACAGTTGCATTAATGAGTTTGCTTTGAGTTTGGCTTGTAAGGGCTGAAGCTGATGGCGAGACTTCATAGTCGATTGAAGCAGTTTGCAGTTCTCAGTATGTAAGTGCACAACAGACTAGTTTTCTGTCAGTTTTCAAAGCCACGTTCTAATCCAAGATGTACACTCTTCCCAGTTAACTTGCTGAGAAAAAGTGCATCGAATCTGATAGATCTTGTCAGTGAGATAGACCTGCTAGTGTCTGCCAGCAGCTGCAAGTCTCTGAAAGATATGAATTTTGTGCCTAACATAACAGTACGCCTGGTATAACTTAATAGCTAGCATGTGATACCGTCATGTCTAATAAAAAGCAATCATTCAATAAGCAAAAAAGAACTGAAATCTCAGCTTTTTTTTTTGATCTTTTTATTTTATCAGGATTTCAGCTTCTGAGTAAGTTAAACTGTTTTGTTAAAGGCGTTAGATCATTTGTGTAAGCTTTTTAGTGACATAGAAGCCCATGAAGCAGTAGTACAGCTGTTTTGGTGGCAGCAGTCCGCTAGGTCTGGGCTGTTGCTGTGTTAGGAGGTCGCGTTGGTGGGGTTGTCGTGGTGGCTTTGGCATAACCCGTGTGTGAGGCTGCTCGGGCCGTCCCATGTCCGTCTGCTTGTGGCCTCCGCAGCTCGGCGGGTGCTTCAGGGCAACATCTCCTGCTGTACATCAGGCAAGGGGGATAGCCCGTGGTAGAGCAAAAAAGGAAAAAAAATGGAGGGATGGGAAAAAGAATTTCTAAGGATGGGAAAAAGAATTTCTAAAGTTAGGTTTTCTACTGAGGAAAATGCATGTAAAACTATTACCACTGTGTGTTTATATGTATATATATATATGTATTTTGCTTCAACATGAATGTACATTAACTACAGTTGAGGGAAAAGTGACTGAGCAAAGTCTAGTGAGAGTTCCTGCAGAGGAAAGTGTAGGTGAGCTTGTTACACAGGTATCTTAGGCAGGTGTGTAAGAGAAACGTCCCGAGTTGCTTTAACCGGCGCATTGCTGCTCTGCGTGTTCTTGTCCCAAAGCTGTTCCAGCTGGTCCTGAAGACCTGGCCTAAGGAGGGCAAATGGAGCCATGGGAACCTCCGAGAAACTGTATAAGCCTGATAGGGAACGAGGGGGCTTTTTCTTGCTCTGAAAAGCAGACTACTGGAATTAAGCAGAAGTCCAATTACTAACAAATTACTTGTTTCCAATCCTCTGCAATTTAGTTTCTTGGTCTCAGTGGCTGCTAAGCTGATGGATTCTAATATCCTGCTCGAGGTAGCCTGATTATTTATTTATTTATTTATTTAAAAATCTTACTGCTTTTGTGAGTGACTCTTCCTGTCCTTAGCAGTGAATTCCCTGCTCTGCCCCATTCGTTTGCATGAGCAGCTCCACAGACTCCCAGGGGGCTCCCTGCGCTCGGGCTGCTCCGCGCTGGCCCCGATGCCTGAACCAGCCTCTCGTTCATGCTCATTTACAGCTCTGATTTATTTTAGTCTCTAACCTTTCAAGGTGTAAACATAGCAGTTCCAGACTTGCAGTTTTCGTAGCCCAAGCGTGTGCCTAATATTAAACTTGAGTTACTTTGCAGTGTGTGTTACGTATGTACGAGGCAACAGTCATCGCTGAATGGTAACAGTGGCCTATACTCTGTAATGCCAGCAATTAGCTATTAAAATTCAGTACTATATTCTGCAGACTTCAAAAAAAAAAAAGAGCAACTAAGCTGTTGTTTCCTCATTTACTTTGAGGAGGATTTTACAATATTGATTTTAATGTTCGGCTCAAAGTAAGAGGTGCCACACTGCTGTGCTTTGAAGCTGACAGTGGGAGAGTTGTGGTGCCAAGTATTTTCCATGGTATTCCAAAGAGGAACAAAACCCCATGGGGTTTGTATGTGATGTTTTAAGGCCCTCGAGCAGCTCTGTTTGCCCTTAATGTAATTTGGCATGTTGTAAATTGTGCAGATACTGAGTAGAGCGGTGCAGTAAGGTTTCCTTTGATGTTTAAATTCAGTTATTGCCTTTGACACGTCTCTCTCTTTCTCCTCATAGGTGCAGGCAAAACACCAACTTTAGGAGGAGGATTCCATGCCAACTTGGGAAAGGAGTCGCGAGCACAAACTCTGCAGAATGGTACTTGTTTAACACTTTAAACTTATTGATGTGACTTCTTTATTATTTTAATACAATTGATTGCAATTAATTTTTAGTTTTGAATGTGACCTCAAATCCTTGGCAGGCCACTCATTGGAGAGTAGACAGGTCTGCCTAGTGCTGTTTTTTAGCTTGTGTTCTCATTTGGTTGTTACTGCTGATTTTTGAGGTCAGATAGCTGGCTGACAAGGAGTAATGGCAGCTGACAGTAATATCATAGTGTGAAAGGGCTTTTCAAGGTCCCCCTGCCCATTTCACCTTTTTATTACCTGGTAACTTGCTGTGGTTTTTTATTTTATCAGTTTTCAGGGTTCATGTAAGACTTTATTTATGTTTATTTTCAGATGTAAGATAATGTACACATTTATGCACACTTCATAATAATTCCACGCTTACTAGCCAGTAGTTGAATAGAGAGAAAAAAAATAGAAAAAAAGATCCTAGTGTTCAGAGAGTTTTTGAATGAATGTTTTGATTATATACATTTTAGCTGAGATCCGTATAATGTGCACTCTTTAAAGTGAATGAATAAAAGCAGCTTTTATTCCAGATACAGAGTGGTCTTCCAGTTTCAACTGCTGTTACTCATATCAATGGGCAGGAGATGTCATTTTTTGGCTAATTAATACTCCCATTTCATGACTTTTGGACATGACAGCTGATGGACTGTCGTGTCAAAGACCAAAAAGCTGACATGTACTTAGTCAAGGGAGGCAGATGGGTTTTACTGATACAGTGTTTGTTCTTTGGGGTATTTTAAATAAATGAATTTCCCTCAGTTAGTCTTTCACATGCAACTTGAAAACAGAAAATCTTGGCTGACATTATGTCTGGATAACTGTAGAAGGACAAGATTGATTTGTGTAATTGAAATATAGGCAGATTGCTTTACTGAGTTGTATTCAGCTGATTTATTTACAGATTGCTTAATTCGGCTGTTTGTGCTGAATAGTATCATCTCCTGCTTGTTTGGCAGAGCAAAGCTCAAGTATCAGTGCTTGTTTCAAATCACTGTCTTAGGAGTTCTGAAAATGCCTGTATAAACTCTAGTATTTAAAGCAGTTGGATAAAACCCTGAGATTGCCTTTTATAGTCATTGATGTTTGTAATTGCATGAAAGTACTTAATTCCAAACTAAATTTTGTGCAGACGTTTTAAAAATAAATTGGCTTGTTGCACATAAGGACCACTCAATTCCTTGTCTTTAATTGTAGAAAAGTAAAGTGAGGGGACGAAATACTGTCCTCTTGCTTTAGGAGTGCTGGAATCCCTTGAAAGCCCATTTTATTGTCCTGACCTGTAACCACAATTAAGCACAACGTAGGTGTGCCTGAATCTAAACATGGCTTCTTTCTTGTATGCATAAGGAAAATAAGTCTGAGCATCCTCTATCCCAAGAGGTTTTGTATATACCGGCCTCCTGAGGACCTCCGAACCACGTGCAATAATCTTTACAAGCTTATTAGCATTGTAGGAAAGAGATTATAGTTGCTTAAATTGAAAATTTCTCCCAGGTAGTTTTAAAATGAGGAAAAAAAATACTTTATTTTTAGCTATACCTGTCTGAAGCTCTCTGCAGTTTTTCTTCTCTCTTTGGTGGTTATCCTTTATATAAGAAAAAAGAACTTGCTCTTTGCTTTCCGCAGCCGCCGTGTGTTTGTCACCCTGCCGGAGGGTCTCGGAGCGAGTCCTTTCCAGTGAGCTCAGCCGTGTCCTGCTGCAGCCCCAGCAAGGACAGAGCAGCTCGGGCTTCAGGTGGTGCCACTGGTGTTTGAAAGGCCCTTCTTTCTGCCGCTGCATAATGAGCCCGTTGTCTGCTGCATTTAATCACATTTTGAGCTTAACATGGTTCTTAATTGCAAACTGAGCTACAGCGGTGAATTTGTAAAATGTTACTTGGTCGCTGTGTGCCCTTGCCCCTGTTTTTTTTATTATTATTTTGAAGTTTGGTTAATACTCATTGCATTTGAAAGTGCAGTGAGCTAAATGACCCTACTCTATGTATTTTAAAGGAAAAGGATGTGATTTATTAAATAAAACTGAAGAGCAGTGGTAGTTGACCAGTGGGCTGTTGTCCTTGGGACGCCATCTGATCAGAAGAAATGCCAAACTTTTTATTTTATTGTTGCTTATTTGCGGGTTCTATTACACTTGGATTTCCAAGTTATCCACTTAGAAATGAGCGGTCACAAGGAGCTCCTGTTGTGATCCCAGTGAGGCACAACCTGTGACCAGGTTTTGTGGGTGCTTTAGGCGACCGGTGATCCCAGTGAGGCACAACCTGTGACCGGGTTTTGTGGGTGCTTTAGGCGACCGGTGATCCCAGTGAGGCACAACCTGTGACCAGGTTTTGTGGGTGCTTTAGGCGATCAGTGATCCCAGTGAGGCACAACCTGTGACCGGGTTTTGTGGGTGCTTTGGGCGATCAGTGATCCCAGTGAGGCACAACCTGTGACCGGGTTTTGTGGGTGCTTTAGGCGACCGGTTATCCCAGTGAGGCACAACCTGTGACCAGGTTTTGTGGGCGCTTTAGCCGATCACCTTCCTGCGGTTCCTTGCCGGCTCCTGATCCGAGGCCGAGCGCTGCCTGGGCTACAGCAGGAGGGAGGAAGCGGAGCCCGTGGGAGGCCGCAGGGCTGTGCCGGGGCTGTCTGCAGCGCGCGGGGGAGCGCTGCGAGCGCGCGTGTGGTCCGAGCGCTGCTCCGCTGCCAGCAACCTGCAGGCTCCACGGGGCCGGGGAGAGTCCGGGCGCAGAGCAGGGCCCTTGGGAACAAACAACAGCCGCCCCCCGCTTTCCCTCCGCGCCCCCGTGTAGCTGGGGCCAGATTCCCGGCTGCTGCTTTGTGTGTGTTTTCCACGGAGGTGAAAGGGAAGTGATTTGGGCCGCTGTGTCTAGCGTCATCACTCAGTGCAGCGTCTGGATTATTGGCTAAGTTCGTGAGGCTGCAGCTTTTTGGGGCTTGCGGTTAAGGGGTGTTTTGATTGAGGTGGAAGTTTTTTCATTAGAATACTGAAAAGCAGTAATTTACAACTTTGTCTTTTCTTGAGAAAAAAGACAGTTTTCTCCACTCTGCTGTGTGGAGAAATTAAAATTAAACCCTCCAACACCAATAGTTGCTTAACAGTTCTGAATTTTCTTACAAAGTTATGATTTTGCACACTGGTATTTATTATACTACTTATACAAAGCTATGGGCAAACCCTGGTGGTTTTAGTTTCCAGGTGTGTGTATGTCCAATGCACAGAACTAGTCTTTCTCATCACATGAGGCTCTGCAGTATTTTTCCTTGCTATTTATAATGCAGTGGTGCTTGGCACTTGGCATTCTCTGCCTTTCTTTATTGAAGCAGGTGATATTTATGGATGTTTGTGAATTGGCTGTAGTGTGTTTTTTATTTATTTACACTTTGTTAAAATATTTATCCCTGAAAGACCCAGTACTATGTGTCAATAATCACGTTTGTCCCCCTGCTGTGTCATACTGTGCTAATAGACTCATTTCAGCTCTAAGTTCAGGACCACAAGGTGGTTTGTTTTTGTTCATATACCATTCATTTTATAATAATCTGCACGTGTGACATGATGTAAAGAGGTGTTTCAACTTTGCTTTAAAAGATTTGACAAAAGAGCCACTCAAATGGTGCTGTTAATTGTGAAAAAGGGTTACGAGTTAAATATTAACCCAGAGAGGATCCCTTTGACAAGACCTCTTTCTTTTTCCGAGCTTCTTCAAGCTGCCGTGTTATTGCCCGGCTTTTAAGGGGTACTTGGTGTGCAGAAATTCAGAACTGTCTCTTTAAATCTTATTTTACGGCTCTGAACTACATTACATAATCTCTCTAAATAGCTGGTTTATTCTTGTTCCCTTGCAGACAATCTGCTCTCACTATATCCATGTCAGATTCGTAGTTACAAGTGAGTTGTTCTTGACTTGGAGCTCTGATACTTTCAATAGAGTATTCAGTGGCCAAAAAGAAGAGTGAAAAGCGAAGGAATCATTGGCATGTTTATAACTTAAAAGCTTCAGTTACAGATTTATATTTGGTTAAAACTAAGTTTGAAGATTGCAGCTATATTTAGCTTAATCCAATTTCTGAACGGTTGCGCTGTGTTTTTAATCATTCCTTTAAATGAGTATGTGTATTTTCCTTCAATCCTCTTAAATACCAAAGCATCACTAGCAGTAGTTTGTATCCTAAATGGAACAGCATTACTGAAGATGTTCATTAAAGCATATTTTGACTGCTCGCTTTTAAACATTTTGCTTAATTTCAAACCTGTGTTGCCATCACTAATTTCATATCTGGTTTATTATGAGTGATTATGAGAGGCTCTGCTTCCTACCAGGACTATGCCATGTGAACTGCACCAGGATTATAAAGTATACATGAAGACTAGATGTATCCAGGGAACAGAAATAGAGAACATACCTTTATTTAACAAAAAGACAACTACAAGGGAGCAGAGAATAATTCAGATTGGGAGGGAGCTCTGGAGATCCACACCGAACGCATGGTGGCTTTGAAGTTGCTTGGGGCCTAGTGTGTTTGAGCTTTGAGTATCTCCAAGACGGATGTGATGCGGTCACTCTGGGCAATCTGCCCTAATGTTTGACCACCCTCCTTGTGAAGATTTTCTTTTTTTTTCCCCTTACATTTAGTCAGAATTTATTTTGCTGAAACTTGCCTGTGTGGCCCCTTATCCCTTGCCATGGGTTTCTGGCAATGCTGACTGTGTCTTCTATGTAACTCTGCACTGAATAGTTGAAGGTAGCAGCAAGATATCCCCCTCAGACTTTTCTTCTCAAAACTGAATAAACTCAGCTCTCAGTTTGAAGTCGTGGGCTTCAGCCTCCTAACCGTCTCGGTGCCTAGACTTGCTGCACTATTTCAACGCATTTCTCGTGTCCTGAACCGGACTCCCTCTACTCTAAATGCAGTCTTGAGAGCTGAATAAAGGGTAGTAATTGCTTCCCTCGA